TTGAATAGAGAGAGAAACATTATAGAGAGTAGAGTAATTTCTTGTTGAATGCTTCTATTTTCTGAGTCTAGTGAGAGGCCAATTAATCCCAGGATACGGTTAGAAAAGCAAATATATTTGGAATAGATTAGGTGGTAACAAGATGTCGTCAAATAGCATTTTTCAATATGTTCTATGAGTCAATCTAACAAAAAGTAAAGGTATATTCTGGTTATATTCTAACACATTTAGTAGGTGTTTGTGTTACTTTTTATCTTTCTGTCTGGTAACTACCAATTTCTTTCCCCTTTTAGGTTTGGTGCCCCTTTCCCACCTTTATCCAGTGTTGCAATTCAGAAATTGTTAAGCAATAACACTTCTTTGAAAGAACCTCATAAAGAGGGTTTTTGTTTGTTTTTAGTTTGGGAAAGAGCATATCTATTTCTAATTTTTATTTCCTTTGAACTTTTTAAATTAACGTCTTTTAATGATATTTTATATTTGCATGTAGAGAACTACAGTTAAGCATCATATTTTAAAATAAGAATGTCTATGTATGTAATTGATTTTAATTTTCTATTCCACAGAATAATATCTGTTCAAGGAATATAGCTCTTCTTAAAATTAAGTATATTTATGCTATTTATTATGAATTTTTCTCCAGATTCAAGTATTTCCTCTCGATTTCATTGACTTAGATAAATGAAAGAAAATCAACTTCTTATAACCATAATGTTTTTCAAAGATCTCGCCTACTTTTGAATGTTTACATTTTTTTGCTTCCTTTATGGTAGCGCTGGATTTATTTTTTTAAGGAGCAGTGAATATGATTTTTAGAATGAACATACATAAAATTGTGTTAGTGCTACATAGTTTGCTTCTTAATGAGAACTGGCATTTGTATACATGTTAAGTTTTCATATTGTAAAACTAATACATAAGTATGAAAAATGATTGTGTACTTGGAATTTCACTGATATATAAAACCAGTCAGTTGATGTCTATTCTGGTACACTGTACATGTTATAGGGATAATTACGGATATGTATTGAGAGATGTGATTGAAAGAGTCCCAGCTCAACCACTAGTCACTTTCCGCCTTGACACTAATCACTCAGACCCTCTATTTTTCCTCTGTGGTAGAGGGAGAGCAGACTGTGCTTTGCCTAATCCAAGGGAAAATAATTAGACTCAGATAGAAAAACAAATTGTCTGACACCAATGTGTATACTCTACAGCACTATGCAGAAGCAAGATTCATAACTGATTATCTTTTTAAAATTTTATTTCCTTTTGCAATATTGTTATTAAGTAATTTTTTTCTGCACAAGTATTAAGCATATTTTAATATTTACCTTATATTTAATATATTAATACTGGGTATAAAACTTAAAAATAATAATAGCAACTACTATTTATGGAGTATTTACTATCTATCAAGTCCTGTGCTAAATGTTTTACATATCAGTATCTCATTTAAATCTCAAACAACCCTATGACCTAGATATTTTTATTTAATTTTAGAGAATAAACTGAGTTTTTGGAAAGTTAAAATGACAGCTGCTTTATTTCAGAGCCAGAATTCAATGTCATTTCTATTTGATACCAAATCTGTTTGGCACATCCTAGTGAAAAATCAGTGAAAGGCATTATGAAGTGGTTAATAATTGAATGTCTAGAGTGAGACACAACTGGATTTAAGTTTTCCCCTCATACTAGGTATCTGATCTTAGGCAAATGTTTTTTTGTGTGTGTCTCGTGTTTCTTTGAAAAATGGGGATAAAAGCAGAACCCACCTCATGGAGCTATTATTAGCTTTAGATGAGATAATGTATACGTGTAAAGAAATTTGCATAGTACCTGTCACACAGTACGCACACAATAAATGTTTCTTATTATTAATCTTATTAAAGTTCCTCATTTAAAAAGTGGGGATGTGGGCCGGCCCTGTGGCGTAGTGCTTGGGTGTGCGTGCTCCACTGCTGGCGGCCGGGTTTGCATCCCGGGCGCACACTGGTGTGTCGTTTGTCAGGCAGTGCTATGGTGGCATCCCACTTAAAGTGGAGGAAGATTGGCACGGATGTTAGCTCAGGGCCAGTCTTCCTCCGCAAAAAGAGGATTGGCATGGATGTTAGCTTAGGGCTGATCTTCCACACACACACACAAAAAAAAGTGGGGATGAAAATAACACCTACCTCAGAAGGATGCTTTGAGGATTAAAGGAAATCATCATTAAAAAAATGTATTGAGTGTGTAAGTGCTCAATAGATGGTAGGTATTTTCATTTATTTACATATTTTATTTTTATTTTCTGCAGAGTTGCTTGCTAGATTTTGTAGATCAATTTAGGCAAGAAGAAATCCTGACACTTTGGATTCATTTTATTCTTGCTTCTCCTTGCTGCCAGTGGAATACAGAGAAGTCCACTCGAGTCTTCTGGAATGGGATATGTCCCGTCTAGTTCTGTTGAGAATCTGCCATTAAATGCAAAGATATATATTTGCTTAACATCCTGTTGGTTGTAGATATTTGTCACCTCTCAAACTGCACCAAGAAAGCTCTGATGAATTGTCTCAGCAGTCTGTTAGGGCTCATTTAAATCCTACTAGTATAAGGCCAAAAGAGACCACCAACAAAAGAAAACAAAATTTAGAGCAAGGACTTTGCATTATATTTTTTTGTACAACACTCAGAGTTAAATGAACATCCTTAAAATAGGCATTAGAACAATTCCTTAGTCAACTGTAATGAAGAAAATAGATCTGGAATGGATGATAGTGCTAGACAAAGGAAGAGACATCAAAATTTGCAAGATATATTTGCAATGGAGAACAATATATAGTTTATATTTGGAGTAGCAGTTTTCTTTAGGTTAAAATTTGACATCTTTTAACATAAGGTTGGGATTAAATTAAGAAAGGTCTGGAATGATATGCTAAAGAGTTTAATTTTTTTCTATCCGTGGCTGAATAAAATGGAACACACTTTCTTGGTTGTTAACTTGTAATGGTCTGATTATGAAGTACACAGGGATAAAATTGAGAGGGAGTAGAGAGTGGGGGTAGGCAAAGAGTACAATGGAGAAAAGTATCTTATTAAAATTAAACAGAAATTCTAGAGACATAATGTTAATTATATTTGTCTTTAAGTAATATGAAGAAAAAGGTTAAATTTTTCTCTTTAGATTCCCAATATCCTCAATGAACTTTTACTTTTGATATTTGAAAAATGAAAGTCAATCACATTATCCTCTTGTTTAGGGGGTCTCTGTGCATATATGTGTGCAAGTAACATGTATGTACATACACATGTAAACTTTTTTTTTGTTAATATTTGCCATGTTTCTACCCTTAATGTATTAATTTATTCAACAATAATTTTTTATGGATGCCTGCATGTCCAGGTATTGTTCTAGATATTTAGCAGACATAAGTAGACAAAACAGGTAAAGATGCCTCCCTGCACTCTAGCAGGGGAAGGCAGAAGTAATTGACATCATAAAACTAATCACAATCATAATAATAAATATTGGTAGGTAGTTAGGGGTCTGTAACCTTCTAGAATTATACATGGTCTTAATACCAAGAAGTTAATTAATTCTCCACCTCTCACTGTATTTGATTTCCTATCTTTCACAAAGGTATACACGTCTATTTGAATGGCTCACATCTAGGAAAGGGAAACTTCTCATTCTCTTTGATAGCTGCAAAATGCAGATTTTTGCTATTTCAAGCCTCTTTTAAATTTCCAATTTGCTATGCATTAAAATGAAGAAAACTGTGGTCATAAATCTTTTTTTAGTAAGCATGGGGTATGTTTCACATACATGAAAATGTATAGAGCCATAAGAAAACATGCTGTTCAGGCCTTGTGGAGATCCGCAGCCTTGAAGATTTCGGTCCATATGGGTACTCAAGTGCTCGCTGTGAGCACTACATACTTTTATCTTATTTTAGTGGAATTTGTTTATTTATATGTCTTGTTCCTACCTAAGCCTGTGAATTCCTAGACAGAAACCCTGTGATTCATCATCAACCAGGCTAACTGCCAGCACCATGACAGAGAGCGGCTCTGAGATATAAAATATAAGAGATGAACTTCTTCTGGGAATAATAGTAGTTTTAATGCAATTGAATATTTTCTCTGTCTTTCCTGTATCAATTTCTTCCATTCATTAACAATTTAATACTGGTTTTTATTTATTTATTTTGCCTATTTTTGTTTTTTCTCCCTTCTTTTCTCTATTTCTGAGATCTTCCTTCCGTTCGTCACAACCATCTTCATTTTCCCTAAGGAACTAGCTCACAGAGAAGTCCCCAATCTCTCTTATTTTATTTTCTAGTATAAAGCTTGCCTATGCAACACTAGAAATTGAGGTTTGTGACAGGTGGCAAGTTTGCCTCAGGATAAGGAAAGAAATACTTTTCTTTTCCTCATGCAGTGTGACCAAGTCTTGTGGTCTGAAGCCTGCTGTAGCAAAGAATCTTGGCATGCTTGCTCTTGTGGGTTCTCCTAGGAATACTGTCATTGGGGAATACCTGGCTGATCCCCACACAGAAGCCCCCATGCTTGTTACTAACTGCTGATACTCCACCGAGTGTTAGGATTAGTGCGTTTGTATCTTTATTTTACTGAAGTTTGATGATTTCTGTTTAAGATAGTAGAATTATAGATTTCAATTTTAGACCAACATTTTTATCTTACAAGGATAATAAGTTTTAGGAAGTCCTTGCTACCGTTTTTCTTTTCCTTCCTCTTTCTAAAGCCGTATCTACATGCCCCCTCACGTTGGATTTTTATGATTCAATTTCCCAATCAAGTCAGTGAAAAAGGATTCATTTCACGAGTTATCCAAACATGAACTTGAAATAATTTAGGTGTGAAAGAACGCTCTTCAAAACATTTCTGGGCATACGGACAGGCATGACTGGTAGGGTTTATGACGTCAGTTGGAGCAACTGTCAAAAGCCCAGACTTTAGATCAATAAACTCAGACTCTGGGACAAATCCGAAAGGTGTAGAGTAGTGTCAGTCTTGGCTTTTGATGGAAAGTCCAAGCTGAAAACTAAAGCTATGTGTGCGAGTTCCATGCCATGATAAGTTCCTTCCACATTAGGTAGATAGTCACTACCAGGTGTCACAATAGGATGGCCAAATATCCCAACAGCCATTGGTGAGTCCAGTTAAAGCAATTGATTTTGAAGTGTGAAAGACTGGTATTTGATGCCTAATTCTACTACATAATAATAGCCTGGCTTTGGGCAGACAACATACTTTCTCTGATCCTTGAGTTTTCATATCTATACAATAGAGAGAATAAAATGCTATCATAATTTATAAGCATCTTCTATGCAGGGGGGCTTATGTTTGAATAAAGAAGTAGTTCTGCCTAGGATCTAAAAATCTAGGGATGAGAGCAGATAAATAATACTAACAGGAAATATTTATTTTAGAGTACAATAGTAAAGCTTTACTTCTCTACAGCGCTTCATTGTTTACAAAACAAATTTACAAACATTTTATCAAATTTTTATTCAGTAAATAGGACATGGTCTGTTATTCATTTTAAAGTTGAGGACAAAAAATATGAAAATTTAAATATATTAAGGTCCTTTAATTTGTAAGAGAAAATAAATCAGAACCCAAAGTGTCTTGAGTTAAAGAGTTTTTACTCGCTTATGCAATAAGAGTCTAAGATTAGGTAGGGTTTAAGGCATGATTAAATTCAGGGCTAATAAGAAAAGTGTTTTACATCATTTCTCAGAGATATCATTACTTCTTATATTCTGCTTCATTCGAAGAACTAAGTGGGATCCCCAAGTGACTCTAAACATATATCCTGTTGTAGGAATAAGATGGCTGCTGCCTTTTCAAAGTGAAAGTTATCATAAAGGCAGATTCAATTTTTCGATAATGTCGGCAAAATTCCTGAGCATAATTCTGATTTGACAGGCTTGCCTTATATGCTCAATCTTCAACCAATAGCTGGGTATAGAGGAATATGATTTGCTGTTAGTCAAGAGTTCAATGTATGGAACAGAGTACTGAGAAGTGGAACCCTCTCACTTGGACCACATGAGCAAAGAGTTGTGGATAAATAGATAACCAAATAAAAAATGGGGCTGATCATCGAGGAGGAAAGGATGTTAAGGATGCCAACTGAAATGTCTGCCTCTGTAGATGAACAGTTATATGTATATGATGTAGAGATCAAAAAATGCAGGCACTCTGCATACATACAAAAGAATGATCTTTTTTTCCAGTTAAATGAGAGACTGGGGAAAAGATAAAATATGTGAATCGCAAGTATGAAGCGATTCAAAAGTTGAAAGAAAAAAATGGTTGCAATTACTAAGAGTAACTAAAGTTGCTTGAATCACATTAAATGAGCCCTGGAAAGCTTCATGGAAGACAGTCCACTTGGAGAATTACACAGGCCTCCTTTGGATTGTCCATTTGTATGTGAAATTCTAACTGAAAGTATGACCGAATGAACTCCATAGATTATATTTCAGGGACAGACATATCCAGAAAAATTATTTTTCTCCTCAACATATTTTTGGCTGCTTCATTTCACCAGACTGCATGCATTAAGAGGTTGAAACACTGTTAAACAGTGACAGAGATATGCACTTATCTTTGAAACATAGCTAGTGATATTTCCTGCTGAGAAGCTATCCGCTCTATAACTCTGCTGAAGTTACAGCCCTTAAATGTAGGACCGACTCCTCAGTAATTACTCTCCTTTCAGATCATCAGAAGGAAAATAACCTCGTGTATTTATAACCAGCTCTATTAGGTATTCAATGATTATTTGTTGATTCATGCATTGATTTTTCATACAGGATGTTGTGATTTGAAGGAATTTGCTCGTGGGAAAAGATCTAATTGGATTGATTTTATAGGCAGCAGGATCTTCATAAATAGCTGATGCATGCTATTTGTTGGCATTTGTAAATGCAGATGAGAGGAAGGAGGGAGGGAGGGAGGAGAGGAAAAAGACTGGTAACACATTTTGGCTTAGTTTATTGATAATCTGTAGCCTTCTCCAGAGTTGAGATCAGTATATAAATTTATTTATTTATTTATTTAACAATATGTTGATGTGAAGGATAAAAGAAAAGCTGGATCTAATTTGGTTACTTAAAGAAATAAACCGTATTGATAGCAGCCCATCCAAACTATGGCATAAAAATTGGCTAAGCATAGAGCCTAAAATACTAAGGTGACTGTGCTGAGGCCAATTTGGTAGCCATATAACTCTGGAAAAGCCTTGTTACGTTAGAAGTATATAACAATAATAAGTGACTCAGCATGGTTCTGACACAATTTAGTAACATAATAATAATAAGATTTTTTTATTAAAATTGGCCTAAAGACCTTTATGGGTTTATTTTGCAAACACGACCATAAATCCTAGTGGTCCTGTTAACCTCATTTGGAACTGTTTCTTAAATTGTAGAACAATGAAAACATTTAAAAATGTAGGCCAAATTATTTGAATGCATATTCTGTAGTCACTTCTTTTGTCCTTAGGATACGTTAGGATTTTTCCATGCTTCCATATAGTTATTTGCATATAAAGAGATTATTATTATTATTATTATTTTTTTTTTGGTGAGGAAGATTAGCCCTAAGCTAACATCTGTTGCCAATCCTCCTCTTTTTGCTGTGGAAGATTGGCCCTGGGCTAACATCCGTGCCCATCTTCCTCTACTTTGTATGTGGGACACCGCCACAGCACAGCTTGATAAGTGGTGCATGTGTCTGCACCCGAGATCTGAACCTGCGAACCCACGCTGCCAAAGCAGAGCGTGTGAACTTAACCACTACGCCACTGGGCCAGCCCCCAAGATTATTTTAATTTTTGATAGGATAAACTACCTACATGTTTTTATTAATGAAGACTGCCAGTAATGTGAATATGCAACAGATGTGGAAGCTCTAGGCAAAAAGGGGCTTTGGAACATAGAACTGTAGAATGGATTAAGAGGACAAATTCTATAGTATTTATTTTTCTACCTAAATCTAAGATGAGTCTTCAGTGCTACCAGTGAGATTAACAACAAGCCTCTGAGAGATCTCAACCATATTTTTATTTATAGTCAAACAGAGAAATTTTAAAATAAAGAAAAATCCTTGTGTGCAAGTCTAAGATGACCAAAATGAGAAAGAGAAATGAAAAGGAGAGGGAGGAATTAGAAATATAGGGCTGGGGATAGGGAAAAGTAGAAAGCAACGAAAAATAAAGGATATAAGAAATTTTAAAAAGAGAACCAGACGCAGAGGCTGCTGGGATACCACTGATTGTTCTATCAAGTATATCTCAGAGGGTCTAGGTCCCTGAGTTCCTCTAGATCAATGTTTTCAAACTCAAAACATTTGCTGAAACGTGTGATCAATTTTTTCAAGAGACGGAATAGTGACCTCATTAAGAGCACGGCTCCCAGAGCCAGACCAACTGGATTTGAGTTTTGGCTCTTCTATTTCATTGCTGTGATCTTGGGGAAGGTACTTACCCTTTCTGTACTTCAGTTTCCTCATCTATATAATGGAATTATTAATAAGATCTTCCTATGGTTTTGTTGTGTTTAATTATATGCGTTATGGTATTCCATGTACCCAGAATAGTGCAAGACACATAATAAGTCCTATTGTTTGCTGTTGCTGTTACCAACTTAGTGCATTATTATCAGAAATATTTTTTTTTACATTTTAATGAATTTTATTTTTGAACAGTTTTCCATTTACAAATAACTCGAGAAGACAGTATAGAGAGTTCCCATACATTCCACACCCAGTCTCCTTTATTAGTCTTACAAATGTATAGTAAACTTATTACAATTAATAAACCAATTTTGATACATTATTATAAAATGAAGTCTATACTTTATTCAAATTTTCTTAGTTTTATCTCATGTCTTTGCACTGTTTCAGGATCCTATCCCAGATTATCACATTACATTTAGTTTTCACGTGTTCCTTAGGCTCCTCTTGGCTAAAACAGTTTCTCAGACTTACCTTGTTTTTGATGACCTTACAGTTAGTTCTAAAGATAACTTGCAAGGTATTTTGTGGTATAGCTTTCTACTGGGATTTATCTGATGTTTTTCTCATAATTGGACTTGGATCATGGGTTTTGAGAGGAAGACGACAGAGGTTAACTGCTACCTTCATCATGTCATATCAAGGGTACATACTATCAACATGACTAATTGCTGTTGGTGTTGGACTTGAACCCCTGGCTTGAGGTAGTGTCTGTCAGGTTTCTCCACTGCAAACTTACTATCCCTGCTACCCTGCCCATACTATATATTTTGGAAAGATATCATTACGCACAGCCCACACTTGAGATGTAGGGAATTAGATTTCATATTCTCAAGGGTGTAATATTTACATAAATTACTTGGAATTCTTCCACATGGGAGATTTGTCTATTCTCACCCATTTTATTTGTTTGTTTAATCAAACATTTATTTTATATCAAAATGGAATCATGAATATTTATTTTATACTTTTGGTTATAATCCAATACTTCATTTATTTTGTCATTCAAAGTGTTTTTGCTTTGGCAAATAGAAGTCCTTTCAGTTGGCTTCAGTGTCCCTTTGACCAACCATCATTATTGTGTGAGGGTGAGTGTGTGTGTGTGTGTGTGTGTGTGTGTGTGTTTAGCACATCCTTACTTTCTGGAACAAGATGCTCCAACCTCATTTTGTATATGTCTTGCTCCAATCATAGAATCAGCCATTTCTCTAAAGACCCCTGATTCCTTATTAGAGAATGGTATTAGGAACCAAAATCTGAGTGCCACATGTGCTTAGTGCTACTGCAGGTCCTTGCTTTCAGGCTTTCTCAGCTGAAGAGCAGAAAAAATATGTGACTACTAACCCCTGTATGTACAAATAACTATATGTTCTAAATGTTACTATCTGTATCTGTATTAAGCTACACGAGTTTATACTAATGTCTTCCACTTTAATCCATTACCACAAGGATCATTCCATCTTCCTCCCCTTGCTTATTTGAAACCTCTCACTCCAAAAGTGAGACACCTGGAGTGAGACACCTGGCTGCTACCATCCACCACCCATTTAATTAATTATTCAATTCCACTATACGTATATAGTAGTAGTAGAACTGTTAATACATATTACCATGGGAAACAATTTTATCAAGCAGAATACAGAATTCATGTAGAAATTTTTTTGACTAAATCTTATAGACTCCACTCATTTCCCAAGACACTTAGGTCAGCAACCTCCTCCCTACTTTTCTGATTTTATTTCGTGGACTTTTAATACAATTAGATAATTTTGTCACATTCTTCATTCCATCATGAATTCTTCAACATTGTAAGTGTTTAACTTTTTAAAATTTGCTTACATTAAATTTCACTGCTTGTGCTGTAGTTCTATGGATTTTAACAAATGCATTGTGTCACGTGTCCACAATTACAGTAACACAAAGAATAATTTCACCACCCAAAAATTCCCCTTTGGTTCAATCCCTTGTCCTTCTCCCACTTCCACTTGAATTTATGGTAAATTTCTGTAGCCTCTTCAGACTGATTTCTTTCACACAATTTCTTTGCACACTTCTTTCACATTTAAGATTCATTTACTGTTTCATAGCTTGACAGCTAATTTCTTTTAATCACTAAATGAGATTCCATTGTAAAGAGGTACCATAGTTTGTTTATCCATTCACCTATTGAAGGACATCTTGGTTGCTTTGTTTTGGATGATTATATATAAAGCTACTACAAGTGTGTATAGGATTTTATGTTAGGACTAAATTTCTCTTCTTTCTTTAGTTTCCTAAGGTAAAAGCATGGGCTATTGACTTTAGATCTTTCTTCTTTTATAATACATGTCTTTAATACTATAAATTATATTTCCCTCTAATCATTGCTTTTGATGATTCCCACACATTTGGTGCATCCTACAAATCTCATACATTTGAATTTATTTTCATTTAGTTCCAAATACTTCTAAAATTTCTCTTGAGACTTCTTTGTTCCATGTATTATTTAGAAATATGTTGTTCAATCTCCAAATATTTGAGGATTTTCCAGCTATCTTTCAGTTATTGATTTATAGTTTAATTCCACTATGGTCTGAGAACATACTTTATATCATTCCTAAACCTTTAAATTGTTAAGGTGTGTTTTATCGCCCAGATGTAGTCTATCTTTTCAAATGTTCCATGGGAGGTTGAGAAGAATTCTTAGTCTACCGTTTCAAGTGGAGTACTCAATAAATGCCAATTAATCGGTCAAGTTGATTGATATCACTGTTGAGGTCAAATATATCCTTACTGATTTTCTACTAGCTTGATCTATCAATTAATAAAAGATATATTTAAGTCATCAACTTTAATAGTGAATTTGACTATTTCTCATTGCAGTTCTGTCAGTTTTACGTCACATATTTTGACAATCTATTGTTAGCTTCATACACATTTAAGATTGTTATGTCTTCTTCGAGAACTGGCCTCTTTGTCGTTATGTAATGCCACTCTATCCTTTATAATTCTCCTTGCAATGAAGTTTTCTTTGTCTAAAATTAAATAACTACCTTGGATTTTTTTTTATTAACATTAGTATGGCATAACTAACTCTATCCATTTACTTTTAATTTATCTCAGCCTTTATATTGAAGTGGGTTTCTTTTAGATACCATACAGTCGGATATTATATTTTTATTCACTCTGCTGATTTTTGTCTTTTAATTGGTGTATTTAGACCATTCACATTTAAAATGATTATTGATATGGTTGGATTCATATCTACCACTTTATAACTATTTTCTATTCAATATGTTCATTGCTTCATATGCAATGGTGAAAATCTGACAGCTTTTCCTCTAAAATCAGGAACAAGACAAGGATGCCCACTCTCACCACTTTTATTCTATATAGTATTGGAAGACCCAGCCAGGGCAATTTTTCAAGAAAAAGAAATAAAATTTATCCAAATCAGGAAGGAACAAGTAAAACTGTCGTTATTTGCAGATGACGTGATATTATATATACAAAAAACCCTAAAGACTCCCAAAAAACTTTTAGAACTAATAAGAAAATTCAGTAAGGTTGCAGGATACAAAGTTAATATACAAAAGTTGATTGCATTTCTATACAGTAATAAGAAACAATCGGAAAGAGAAAGTAAGAAAGCAATCCCATTTAAGTTGTATCAAAAAGAATAAAATATCTAGGAATAAATTAAACCAAGGAGGCAAAAGAGCTGTACATTGAAAACTATAAGATATTAATGAAAAAAATTGAAGACACAAATAAATGTAAAGATATTCCACACTCACGAACTGGAAGAATTAATATTGCTAAAATGTTCATACTACACAAAGCAATCTACAGATTCCTATCCAATGCAATTCCTATCAAAATTTCAATGGCACTTTTCACAAAAATAGAATAAACAATCCTAAAATTTGTTTGCAAACGCAAACAGTCCCAAATAGCAAAAGCAATCTTGAGAAAGAAAAAGCTGAAAGCATCACACACTGATTTCAAACTATATTACAAAGCTATAGTAATTAAAGCAATATGGTATTGGCATAGAAACTAATACATAGTTCAGTGGAACAAAATAGAGAGTCCAGAAATAAACCCACACATATATGGTCAATTAACTTATCACAAAGGAGCCAAGTATATACAATGAGGAAAGGACTATCTCTTCAATAAACGGTGTTAGGAAAACTGAACAGCTACGTGCAAAAGAATGAAACTGGAGTTCTAGCTTACATCCTACACAAAATTAACTCAAAGTGGATTAAAGATTTGAATGTAAGACCTGAAACCCTAAGATTCCTAGAAGAAAACATAGGGAGTAAGCTCCTTGACATTGGTCTTGGAGATGATTTTTTGATCTGACTCTAAAAGCAAAAGCAACAAAAGCAAAAATAAACAAGTGAGACTATGTCAAACTAAAAAGCTTCTGTACAGCAAAGGAAACCATCAACAAAATGAAAAGGCAACCTACTGAATGGGAGAAAATATTTGCAAATCATATATCTGATAAGGGGTTAACATCCAAAATATAAAAAATAAACTCATAACTCAATAGCAAAAAACAATTTGATTAAAAAATGGGCAGAGGATCTGAATAGAATTTTTCCAGAGAAGACATACAGATCTCCAACAGGTATGTGAAAAGATACTCAATATCACTAATCATTAGGGAAATGAAAATTAAAACCACAATGAGATATCACCTTCTACCTCTTAGAATGTCTATTATGAGAAAGACAAGAAACAAAAAGTGTTGGCGAGGATGTAGAGAAAAAGGAACCCTTGCACACCATTGGTGGGAATGTAAATTGGTACAACCATTATAAAAACAGTATGAAGGTTCCTCAAAAAATTAAAACTAGAACTACTATACGATGTAGCAATCATACTTCTGGGTATATATCCAAAGAAAATAAAATCACTATCTTGAAGAGATATCTGGACTCCCATGTTCATTGAAGCATTATTCACAATAGCCAAGATATGGAAATACCCTAAGTGTCTATCAATGGACGAGTGGATAAAGAAAATGTGGTATATCTACATATACCACACACATATATATACAACGGAATATTATTCAACCATAATAATGAATGAAATCTTGCCATTGGCAACAGCATGGATGGACCTTGAAGGCATTATACTAAGTGAATTAAGTCAGACAGAGAAAGACAAATAATGTATGGTCTCATTTGTATGTGGAATCTAGAAAACAAACAAAAAAAGCAAGCTCATAGATACAGAGAACAGATAGGGGGTTGCCAGAGATGGGGAGTGGTTCCAGTTATAAAGTAAATAAGTCATGGGGAGGTAAGGTACAGAATAGTGACTATAGTTAAAATACTGTATTGAATATTTTTTTTGTGTGTGAGGAAGATCAGCCCTGAGCTAACATCTGATACCAATCCTCCTCTTTTTTTTTGCTGAAGATTGGCCCTGGGCTAACATCCATGCCCATCTTCCTCTACTTTATATGAGATGCCGCCACAGCATGGCTTGACAAGCGATGCGTTGGGTGCACGCCCAGGATCCGAACCTGTGAACCCCCGGTCACCGAAGCGGAGCACGGGCACTTAACTGCTGCGCCACTGGGCTGGGCACCTGTATTGCATATTTGAAAGTTGCTAAGAGAATAAATCTTAAAAGTCCCTATCACAAGAAAAAAATTTGTATCCATTTATGATGACAGATGTTAACTAGATTTATTGTGGTGATCATTTCACAATACATACAAATATTGAATCATTATGTTGTATATTTGAAACTAATATAATGTTATATGTCAATTATACCTCAATAAAAAAGATACAAAAGAATAAAGTAAAATGAGTATTGATGTAGTTGGATTAATATCTACCATATTTATAACTACTTTCTATTCATTTTGTATGTTCATTGTTTCTTTTTTCCTTTTCATCTGCTTTCTCTAGTTTTAACTGAGCATTCAAAATTATTGTTTTTCTCTTCTCTCTTAGCATATCAATTATACGTATTTAAAAAAAAATTAGTGGTTCTCCTAGAATTGGCAATATAAGTTTTTAACTAATCTAAATCTACTTATTTGAGAGTAGATTATGCCACTTCATGTATAGTGTATATATGTTATAATAGTTTCCCCAATTTCTTCCTTCTGTCCATTTTGATTTTGCTGTCATTTATTTAATTTATCTATATGCTATAATCACCAAATACATTGTTATGTTATTAATTTAAACAGTTACTTCTTAGATCAATTAAGAATGAGAAAATTTCAAAAATATTAACTTCATGTATTTCTTCTTTGAAGGTCTTTTCTTTAAGTAGATCGGAGTTTCTGACCCATATAATTTTTCATTAGATCTCTTAACATATTAATCATAGTTATTTAAAATTCCCAATTTGATAATTCAAACATCTATATCGTATTTGGGTCTTGTTATGATAAATGCTTTGTCACTTCAGAATGTGGTTTTTTCTTGCCTTTTGGCATGACTTGTAACTTTTTGTTGAAACCAAACATGATGTATCGGGTAATAGGAACTGAATTATATATGCCTTTAGTGTGAGGATTTATGTTACTCTGGCTTGAGGAAGAGCTGTGTTTCATATTTGCTACAGTTGTATGTGTCAGAGGATAAAAATTCCTCTCCTATTCTTGTTTTAGTCTGCACCATTGTCTTTGGGCTTCTCTAATAATTCCTTCTCAGGGTGAGTCCTGCATCTAGCAGCTTTTTTAGCTATAATCCATTGCTGTCACAGTAGAATCCTATTGATGTGGTGGTAAATTGTAGAGGAAGGATCTTATAATATTACGATGAAATCTTAGCCCTTTAGTGGGCTGCTGTCCCTGGGCTGTGATATTCACACATGTTTCTTAACTTTTTATCCCCAATTAGGTGATACAGGAAGGCTAGAGGGATAGAGTTGAGAAAAGATCTTCTTCTAGATGGGATAATAGTATTTATGCTTTCCTCCTGCAGATTAGACCTTTGTTATAGATATATTTCTTGGTTCCTCACAGTGAGAGACTGGTGGGGTTCCAGGATGTAAAACCCAGAGAAGTGGGAGGCCCCAACCTACACTACAGTGTCCAGGAGTTTCTCACTCTCTCTCTAGCTCTAGTTCACAGTCAGTCTCTGGCACTCATCAAAATTACCTATTCCTCTCTCTTTAGGGCTCCAGCACCTTCTGTGACTTGGCTGTGACTTTTAGATTCATCTGTCTCTTCTTATTTCAGGGTGTCAGTTTGCTCTGTGACCTTAGTTCTCTGCTGAGCCCAAGAAAGGTCATTGATTCTCAGTTTTTTAAGATTTTTTAACTTGAATAACAACTTCCAAGCTCTTTACCTCTGGAAACTAAAACTACAAAAAGAATATTTTTAAATGACAAAGAACAGATTAAAATACAGTAGATCATATTTAGTAAAAGTAAGAAATATTTCAATTATGTGTAATGGGTCAAAATAAAAAAGAAATTGATCAATCTTTCAAAAACTGAAAAATACTGGTCTGAAGCACTGGTTTAGTTTTGTTTTTCTGGCAAAATGGGCATTCATATGCTTGAGGCACCCATTGTTTGAATCAGATTAGTATAAGACATAAGATAAAACACATTTGGGGGATCCATATAACCCCAATGTACTCAGTATAATGCAACAACTTTTATCTCAGAACAGAATTTTGCCACACTCCCTAGAGAAATGTTCCTACATAGACATTAACTCACTTTTGACAACAGTGACCACTGAAAAAAAATTAACTTAAAAGGACTGAGAAAAAAATTGGACGAGGTAAAATCCCGGTACCTCTACTTATACTGATGTTCTCTGACTTCTCAAATTAGTTTTCTATTATTCCACTATTCTTTTTTCACTGGGGAACAATAGCTTATTCACATTGGTTAATTTTTCAAATACTTGAAACTTAACTTTCGTATTTAACAAATTAATGTGTCATTCTAAATTGTGTCTGATTTAAACACATGAGGAACTGGCTTGGGAGACATCATGTAGATCATTCCTCAGCATCTGTCACCCTATCTTGAGTCATCCAGCACTGAAGCTCTGGCCTGTTTTGGGTACTAGTCTCTTTCAAAGCCCTTGTTTCAAAAAATCCTTCCCTGGGTGTGGGCTCCCAGGCTCTTCTCATTACCAAAAACAAGAGATCTGCCTCTGAGACCCAGGCTAAAAACAACTGTACCAGCTGACAGACTTTGCAAAAGCTACAAATCAAAGGATAATGGGTCCCATGATTCTCACCTTTGCATTTTACCTACTATGGCTGCTGCTGTCCCTCCTTCTCCTACTCTTACTACTAGTAGAATGACAGCTCACGTTTATTGAGTGATTCTTGTGTCTCACCTATATATATGCATGATCACGTTCCTTTCTCAAAACAAGCTTATCAGGGCTTTTCAATGATGAGGTAATTGAATCTCATAGAAGTAAAGTAACTGAGATATAGATAAAAAGTAACTGCCCCCAAAAATACAGTTGGTAAAAGGTAGAGCTAAACCTCAAACCAAATCTATATACTTTGGTTAGTGATGCTAACCACTGTCCTCATGTCTACAACTCGCTTTTGGAAGAAATTTTTTTTTTCTTTTTAACTAACAAAACTAACATTTTAATAAAAAATAAATAAAATAGCAGAAACTCCTAATATGGAAAACAGTTGGTCTCTTAAAGCAGTGTTTTCAAAACTGTATATGCAAAAGTGTAGGAAAAAGAAAAAAATATAATGTACTGCAAGGAATATTAAAGAACATCAAGCTTTTTCTTAAGTGAATTCATACTAAATACTTTTAAATTATTTAAAATTTCTAAATATTTGTATCTTTACCACTAACTGAATTTAGATCTCAATTTTATAGAAAAAAATTTTAAAAAATCAAAAATGTAAAAGAATAATTACTAAACTGGAAAACTGAACACTTAGATCCTGAACAAATGTGTGATACAAGATGTTTTTGCCACTGGGGAAAGAACTTACCCATCGTGAATGTTTGTTTCTTCATCATAAACTAAAGAGGGTTAATTAAGTTGTACGACTTAAGCCCCTTTCAATTCTCAAGTTGTACATCTCGTTTCACTAACACACGAATACTTCAGATAGTAAATTTTCAATTTTATTTTCATTCACTATATATTTCTTGCAGTTGTATAAGAAAGAGAAAGAATTCTCACCACAATTACTACTGGATATCAAACACCTCATTATTAACAATGCAAATACCAATAGCTTTTATTTTTCCAATTTCACGTCTGAAAAAAAATGAGGATTATTTATACTGAGAAAAATTCTTTAACCTAATACTTTTTCTTACTGAATTGATGCATTTTACATTTTCATCTTTCTTGTGTAGAAAGTCTTGCTTCGGCTTTTCAATAAATAAGTTTACAACTGCCAACAACATTTTCAAAGACACAATTGATTTCACAGATGATCATAAAAAGGCTATATGAAGCTGCAATAATGGAAATAGTGACAACCTGATAGAACAGTTTTTGTTGCATGAGTTCATATAAAACAATTCATGATGAAAACATAGTGGAAGAGATGACTAGCACTGTATTCAACAAGTAGAGCTAGTGTATCTAAAATTCAAAATTTCTCAGATATATTCCTTTGTCTTTTTCTGGACTATTGAAACTGTCATTTTAACTATATGATTTTATATATGTGACTTTCTTGACCACTGTATCAACGGTATTAGTAACTTTGTGTTATAACTCAACCCCAAACTTGGTGGCTTAAAACCATAATCATCTAGAGCCAGTCCTGATGGCCTAGCAGTTAAAGTTCAGCGCACTTCTCTTTGGCAGCCCGGGTTTGGTTCTCCCACTTTGGGCACAGAACCACACTACTCATCTGTCAGTAACCATGTCGTGGCAGCAACTCACATAGGAGAACTAGAAGAACTTACAACTATACACAGTTATCTA